ATGTTTATTTCACCAGGGTTGCCCCTACATCATGTTATAATGTTATACTCTCATAAAAACATGTCCAAAGCCTTGCTCTGACTCATTCATGCATGTTTGAGAAATCCTGCAGTGTTTTTAGGAAGCCATGCTGAGGAGCAAAACGACAGGTGGGGACCAGAAACACCTCTGGGACGTGTCTTTAAGCTGAACTTCCTCATCACAGAGCACACCTCCCCACCCCACACACCCCACACACCTTGCCCATGACAAGCAAACAATGAGTGAAACTGAAAGTGAAACTGAAACTGTCTGCTGAGCTCCTAACTACTTCTCACTCAGTGAAGCTCTTTTCAGATTCAAAATACCTTTGAGGAAATGTATTTTCAGATGCCAAGTAAACTGCATCATAGAGCACATGTGACCCCCCCCTCGACGTTTAGAAGAGGAAGTGATGAGAAGATACGTTTATTTTCTATTTAAACATAAAACCAGCATTTTAATAATAACTAAAGGTAACATAGATACTTTATTATGGTATAGTATTTAAATAAATGCCTGAGAAACACATGACATTGCCCCTTTAAGACAATATGGATCAGTTCCTAAGTAACACGGAGAGCACCAAGACCCCAGGTCTAAACCGGGGATCGGACCCAGGACCTTCTTGCTCAGGGATGGTTCTAGGGGTAGGGCCACAGGGGCATTGGCCCCTGCTGAAATCTGATTGGCCCCCTGAAGTGTCCCTGTCCTGTCACACATCTGTCCTTTGCCTGAGAACAGTGATGATGGGTGCAGTTCCATGCCCAAACACTAGAGGTGCTAATGAGTCAAACAGTAAAGTCCAGCATGAATCAGTCTTACAGAAGTCTTCTCTCTTCTCTTCTTCTCTTCTTTAAAACACTTGAACAATTTTGCAAACAACATCTTTCAACTAGCCAATAATGGCTTCATTTTTTTCTCATGCTTTGAGAATATTTTTTCCATGTACAGTAAAATTGATATGGAGAATTAAAACCTTTTTAATAACATTACATTACGGTACAATTGTTGGATCATATGTGACTGGTTAAATATATACACCTTACCAAAATTTAGGATTTATGTGCAAGGATGTTGAACAAATATTTGGCCCCTCTATAAATATTGTGGCTCCTTGATGGCCCCTTACTCAGAAAAATCCTAGATCCGCCACTGTTCTTGCTGCCCAAATTTATTAGGTTACATGTTCTAAAGACTACATAAAACAATTTGGAAAAGGTGGTTTTTATTTCTATAAGAATTATTTGTTATAAGAATTTCTTTAATAAATATGGACTTGGACCAAGTTTTGGAGTTTTTAAGATTTGGTTGGCACTAAATGAACTGAACCTTGTGAAASTGCAGACTAAACCTGTCCTCTATAAGCCGAGGAACCGTGTTGACAGATTTCCTCTGCTCCTTCAACCTTCAGGTCATCAATGTCAAACAGAGCTCGGTCAACATGGTCCCGTCTAAAGTCGAGATCACGCTCCGTAAGGGCGATCCGGTGGCCTGGGGCAAACTGGAGGACCCCAACTACAAACCAGAACCAGAACCCGTAGAGGACAGCTTCCTGGAAATCCCAGAGTCTTACCAGCCCGACTGGGACATCGACGACGACGACATCAGTGACTCGGATGAAGAGTGGGCCGACAGCGCACAGCAGAGCAAAAGCCAGGACGGCAGCGACGAGCGGCTGAAGCAAGAGCAGGAGGCGCAGAACATGAAGAGGAAGGAGGTGGAGGAGGAGATGAAGAGACTGATGGAGCAGCAGAGCAAGATGGAGGAGGAGAGGAGGAAGTTAGAGGAGCAGAGGAGAGAAGAGGAACAGGGAGGATATGAAGACATGCCTGATTTAGAAGATGGAGAAGCTCGTTTAGATGAATAAKTTCAATTCTTCAGCAAAGGAAGTTTCTTAATCATTTTGAATCTTTTAAARTGTGCGACTCTTTCTTACATGTGTTTCAGAGATGGATTTATGAAAACTCACATTTTGAGAATAACTTTTTGAAAAATATGAATAATTTTTAGAGGAGATGTTTGGGGAACAAGCAGYTTATGTTGCAGTATTTTATCATGAAACTTCAATAAACTTTTCTATGTCTSTTTCTGTGACTTTGTTTGTTTTTTCCACTTCAAATATCCATAAAAACATTCTAATTAATGAACAGCAGAGTGAGGAAATGTGCTCAGTTTGTGCTCCAGCAGTCTAAGTCTTTAGCAGCAGAAATGAAGAATAATTCAGGAAACCTAAGTCTAACTATATGATTTATGAAAAAGGAAAGTCTTCAGTCTAATCTTAAAAGTAGACAGAGTGTCAGCCTCACGGACAGAAACTGGAAGTTGGTTCCACAAGAGAGGAGCTTGATAACTGAAAGCTCTGCCTCCCATTCTACTTTTAGAAACTCCAGGAACCACAAGTAAACCTGCAGTCTGAGAGCGAAGTGCTCTGTTAGGAAAGTATGGAACAATAAGATGTTTAATATATGATGAAGCTTGGTTGTTGAGAGTTTTGTATGTTAGGAGTAATATTTTTAATTCAATTCTGAATTTGACAGGGAGCCAGTGGAGAGAAGCTAAAACTGGAGAAATATGATCTCTCCTTCCAACTCTCATTAAAACTCTAGCAGCAGCATTTTGGATTAACTGAAGACTTCTTAAAGAGTTTTTTGGATGCTCAGATAATAAAGAATTACAGTAATCCAGTCTAGACGTGATAAATGCATGAATCAGTTTTTCAGCATCATTTTTGGACAAAGTGTTTCTAAATTTAGTGATATTACACAGGTGGAAGAAGGCAGTCCTGGTAACATTTTTAATGTGGGGGTTAAAAGTTATGTCCTGATCAAAAATGACACCACGTTTCTTTACATTAGAACTGGAGGCCAGATTAATGCCATCCAGAGGAGGCGAAAGGCTGCAAAGTTGATCCCTGAGATGTTCAGGTCCAAGAACCACAACTTCTGTCTTATCTGAGTTTAGAAGCAGAAAATTAAGAGTCGTCCATGTTTTTATGTCTGTAAGACATGCTTGTAGTTTAAGTAACTGGTTGGATTAATCAGGTTTCATGGATAAATATAACTGGGTATCATCAGCATAACAATGGAAATTTATCCCATGCTGTTTAATAACTTTACCTAATGGAAGCATGTATAAAGAGGATTGGTCCAAGAACTGAACCCTGAGGAACTCCATGACTAATTCTGGTGTTTGAAATAAAATAATTATTTAAAATATTTAAACTAAGCTTATAAAGCAGTAATTATTGTATCAGCTAGCAGACATTAGCTTCTGTAGCATTTTAATAAACAGAGTATAGCACTTTGCTGGATCATGCTAGTTTAGCACAAATTATCAATTATTGCAAGCTAGTATTGCCTCTGATTTATACATTTGCAGAGTGTCAAATAATATTTCATATTTGACTATTTTTAGGTTTTTGTTAGACAAACTTGACTTGTTGAGAAGATGGTWAGCTAATATCAGTAGACAAGATTTATCCTTTAAAGTACCAGGTATGCAGTGAACATTGTGTCGGCTACATAGCAGGTAATTAATAATAAATGTTATTACTAGCTGAAGTCAGAATTTTTCAACTAGCTAAAAAGTCCTAGTTTTTACGACTTTGGATCTAGTTTAAATTACTTGTTTTTCCTTATCTATTTTACGATTGTTGAATGAAACAAGCATAATTACCAATCATATTAATTTCTGACACAGATCCAATTTCGTTTGCTGTTTATCTAATAGTTGCAACAACTGTGAGCCGACGCCCTGTTAGGTCACCATTTTTACTCCTCCGACACAGATGCTTACAGCGGGGCTCACTCTGGTGATAAATGGAGGTCACCAGTCTAATTTGGTCTGGGCTTTTCTCCGATCTGTCAGTTTGTCAGCCTGGTCAGAAATAAASCATTACTCTAACTATGCTGTGCAAATAGCTACCTACAGCAGGTTAGARATTATTTTGTCTGAGTGATGGGCTATGAAGGGCAGTTCATACAATCAAAATTAGTTAATTAATATAAGAAACAGAGACAACCGTCACAATTGAATAATTCTTTTAATGTTCAGAGGTTTGCACCGACTTCGTCTTTGTTACACACTGCACATGACACAAGAAAACACCTCGCGACGTACAAGGTCGTGCAACACGGAGCCTGGCGCTGCCTGGCGCAGTCTGAGTGTGTTGGCTGGGGCTGCGTTCACAACGTTGTATATGTTCAATACTGTTGCACAAAACCTGCTTAAAGTGTTTGTCGTCTGTAAATTCACGCAGAGTTCCTCTGCTGATATCTCAGCTGCAGATGAGCACTCGGAAGAGTTTCAGTCCAAAAAAAATAAAAACACATTTTTGAGGATTGAAAACAAATAAAAAATAAAAATAAAATAAAAATCACTTTAGAAAAAAATAAAATAAAAAAACAGGCAACTGGTTATTCCAAAATGGCTCGTGTGTATGTGTTCCCCAACATTGTGATATTTGCCACTTCAACATTTTATAATTTAATTGAAAGATAAAAATTTACAGCTCCACTGTGTAAACTATTCATTTGTAAATTATAAATAACACTGAAGAATTTCATACAGTAGTTTAAAAATAAAAATGAAAGAATATTCAAATGACCCACATGTTTTTAATATTTATCTAAGCTCTTATTGGTACAATATGATGCTGCTGTGACGGTGAAAAAAAAACTATTACAAGCGATTAAAACCACAAGTGTAGTAACCATCTGTTTATACAGCTCTTTACAATTAAAATGTACTTTTAGAATTTTACGATTGGTTAATTACATTTTATCACCACACTTTTATCCATATATATTTGTCATAAATAAAACATTTTCATCAGTTCAATTAAAAAAAAAATGCTTGTAAACACTCAAAATCTGAACATACATATGCAAATGTTTTTTTTTTTCTTCCCCCGGTAAATTTTGCTTTATCGTAAAGTGCAAAGGCAAGATACGGTAAACTTTGAAATGTATTACATCATAAGCTTTTTCTCTCTCTCTCTCACACACACACACACATACTCACACACACATACTCACTCTCATACACACACCATTCAGGTCAATCAGAAGTCCAGACTTGGCAGAACGTCACTAAAGCCTCGGAGGTGTAGAGCGATAAACTGGCACACTATGGATACAAAAACACCATCTCACCACAGCCGAACATCTACAAGTGCCTCACAGTGACCACAACCCACCACTGGGTTTAAGCTGCAAAATATAGATTAAAAATAATAAAAATAATAAATAAAATCACACAAGTTAAGAACCACTTGTTTCAACTTGAACAGAATGTGCTTTTAGCTTCTTTAGCGGCTGCAACTTTTAAGCTAAATCATAAAAAATACAAACTTGTCGTAAAATAAACTTTAGAATTATTACGTATTTTGTGTGCATTTTGTACTTTTTAAAGTACCGCYTATGGAAAAAAAGAACAAGCTAACTTTAAAGACTTAAAGCATGCAGCTAATTTTTTGTGCTAAACTGTAGGCTAGTGTGATGTTAGCTAGTTTGTTACTCAGCTTTAACCCAAAAGTTCATATTTTTCCCAGATTGTATTACWGACACAAAATCTTTTTATTTACTGTCATTTTGTTGATTTTTAAATTATTTTCCATCCATCCAGTGTGGTGTTAGCTTTGTGACAATATTAGCCTAACCTAACGTAGCGTCTGTTTCATTGTTATTAACATGTTAAAATACTAACTAATAATCGTTTGCCAAAGAAATTATTCAGTAATCTAAACTTTTTAAAAATTATTTATGACTGTATCTTTATGGTAAAAAAATTTAATACATACAAAGCCACTGAATCTAAAAATAAAATAATAATAAATAATTAATACAATAAAAATTAAATACTCTTTCCATCTGTGTTGGGCCCCATCTTTACCACTCCAGGTAGTTTTAAAAACATGTATTTGAAACTTGCGTTCATATTTAAACTGATGTTTTGGTGAGAAAAACTGATTGATTTTAAAACTGAAAATATTTACAGCTTTAGTTTTCAGTATACTGGAGATCTGGACCAGTTTAAAATAACTATGTTCTATAAACCCAAACAACTATGCCTTATTAGCTCTAACATTTTTACTTCAAAAAATGTAAAAAATTAAACTTAACTTTGTTTCCTAAAAACCTTAACAACTGACGAACTTGTAAACGATAAACAAACATGTTTTGTGGGAGTCATTTTAATTAAAACTATATCTTTTTTATTCTATGCTGTAAATGTGGACACCTGGTGAAATTGTGTGGAAATTTCCTTTTTATGACGCGGGTTAAGACGAAAGCTTGGTGCTATTTATAAATACTTATAAAAGTTTTGATGTGTCTTTGAACGCTCTGTACTAGAAAACACTTCGAGAYGTTATCTCAACTCTAATTTTAGTCATTTTATCAAGCATTACCAGTTTAAATTACGCTAAAACGTCAAACTTAGCTGCTGTCCTGCTTAAATAACATCTACTGTAAAATGATGAAAAAAAAAACCTACAAATTCCCTTTTGTTTAAGTTACTCTCTTAAATGTTTCTGTAAGCACACCAAAACAAAAAGTTCACAAATGTTAATCTGAGCAAACAATCAGAAGTTCACAATTTTGAGGCAGTTTTCCACTGTGAGGCGAAGTTATGCATGCAGGGACACAAACGGCATCAATATGCAGGAATGCTGGAGTTTTATCAAAGGGGGAAGCAGCAAAGCCAAAACAGCTTCACAGATCTCCAGTTCGGGGAACYAAGATTTACAAAAAATAGATATATATTTGTAATAATAGCTTTTTAACCACAGACAAGGCAAAAATCATATACATATTAACCCTTATCCTTATATTACATACAATCATGTAGAGGACAAAGTAAGTGTAATACATTAAGAAGCTGCAACGTTCAGTTTGCCCTTGATGCTTCCTCTTTGTGTAAACACCAGCTAGACACACCGAGTCATATCATCTGGTCCTGGACCTCGAAACGCTTCATGATTCAAGTTTAAAATATGCAGAGGGGCGAGGGTCGACCCCGGCCCCCCACAACAAATCCCATCTCAGAACCGACTGATTCACTTTTAAAACATTAATCGCTCCTCGATGAAATGACTCGTAATAAAGGTCGGTTTGCAGCCAAACTGCAACGCTTCGGCACAAGACCACCGAAGCACCACTTGAACAACAGGAGAACCCTAATAGAACATTATCATAATTCACTGGTTAATACAAGTCCACACAAGTACATTCCTCTGTGTAATTTTTTTTTGCAACATTTAAGATATTCTCCAGTTCAGTAGACGAGAACGCTGAGATCTCAGTTTGTTCGCTTTGTTGCTGTCGGGAGTTCTTATGGCAGTAGCAACAAGAAATAAATATGCAGTTCGAAGGCTAGTCAAAGTCTTAAGAAAAACAGAATGATTGAAGGAAAGAAGAACTTCAGAGATTGTAACAACTTACAATAGTAAAAAATATCCGATACACGTGACATGCGAGAGGAGCACCACGTATATTTATTGTCGCACGCCGTTTGTCTCCACACCTCCCTGGGGTTTGACTTGAATTTGCTGCTGGCCACAGAACGGAAAGCAGAGCGTCAGCAGTGAAGCAAAGAAACACAGAGCCACGCCCCCTTTAAAAAAAAAAAAACGAAATAAAAAGTCCAAAATCATCCTGATGGTCTGTTTTAAAAAAAAGAAAAGGCCGAGAAAAGCAAACAGATTAAAAGTTGGGATTAGGGAGCGACGTCTGTTTCTGAGTCCTCTGAAGCCACAGGGTGTAGGGGGGTAAAAGCGGAGGAAGATTGGGGGGGTGGGTGGGGTGCAGCCAACCCCTGGTTTGGTCAGGATGAGAAAGGTTCTGACATCATCATCAGTTGCCTGAAGAGTCTGCCTCAGCAGCCCCACCTTTGATATCCCACACTCCTGCAGGAGACACAAAGAAATCCAGAACTGATTAAATCTCCAACAACAAACACAAATAATATATATATTTTTTATTGTTTTGTGTGTGAGCAGTGTGTGTTCCTGAAGGCTCTGCTCCTACCTGACAGAGAGCTGTTGGACTTCTGTTTGTGGAGCTTCTCTTTCTCCTTCTTAGTTTTGGGAATAATCTTCAGCTTCATGCTGCTGCTGCTGCTGCTGCTTTTACTGCTGCTCCTCACCGAGTCCTGAAACACAGAGYCTTTAGGACTGAGTGATGGTCTGATATATACGACAGTGGTCACATGTGACTCACARACGTTGGCCTTAAAGTGCCTGTGACATCAAATTTTTGTAATAAATGTGAATGCGTTTTTGGAAAGAGAACATTGACAACAAATTGCAAAACAAATCTCACGCTGTTGAGATGAACGGTTGTTCAGATATTTGCATGTGAAGAAACAGGAAGTGATGTCAAAGAGGAATGTCTGCATGTAAACAGAGCGATGCAGAGAAGAATTTGATGTTTCTTTAGATTATTTTGAGTCACTATCAGAGTTGAAGAAGAGTTTAAATAAGATTGTTTCAATAAATAAAGACCAGAGTTTATTTTCTTAAAGAGTTCCCTTTGATGTCACTTCCTGTTTCACTTTGCTGAGCCAGATTCAAGAGAAAATATGCCAGTTATGGGACAAAATGGGTAAAATAATGTGTATTGTGCTAATTTTCTTAAATATAAATATGTTTTCTTTGACTTTTTGTATTTGAAGGATAAGCATGTCACTGTCRCTTTAATATGTTGGTTTGTTCCTTTTCTAATAAAAGTTTTTGTTTGGGACATGTTACTAAAAACACTGAGTACATTTATAACATTGCCACTCAATCTGAGCTGATGATGTAGATCTAGGTTGCAGTTTAGATTAAAACTCATGGAGTCAAGTCTGTTGTGACATTATGCACAATARATGTGTTGAAAKAATCAAATGTGATWGTGATGTTTAGTATTAGGGGTTGACCGATACATCGGCCGGCRGATATTTTTGGCCGATATTTGTGTTTTTTCCTTGTATCGGTATCGGCCGATACCCTGTCCGTTCGGCCGATCCATTCTTTGGGTCATGCGAGCGCATGTGTRRGCCCCCTTCCCCCGGGGASAGCGCAGCAGCTAATGTTGTGAGACAGAGTGCTAACAACAACAAGGGTGAGTTATGAACTATAAATGTGTTTTAACTGTATAATTTAACTGTTTCTACCCTCTGTGTCAGAATATGAGGGAAGAGAGAACAGCTGTGTTTAAGTTTCTTTTCCAGACGGGAGCYCTGCGACATGTTTTACTTTACTTTCGCCCCGCACTGTAATCAGCATGTCCGCATTGTTTTTCTTTTTAAAAATGCTGGAGCTGCTCACATGAGGCATAGAAAAACACCTCTATTGTTCTCCCTGCTGGATTAAAATAAAAAAGCTTTCGGTCTTTTCTCGCTGAACGTTTTAGCGAGCGCAGCCGTCCACCATCATGTGAACCAGACGCTGCTCAGATCACGTTTACTGTGACTGCAGTCGTGATGCTGGTCCTCTTCAGTGTACATTTCAAACTGTGATCTAAAGTTAACGTCAGCTGGTTTAAATGTATTTTTTGCCTGGTGTTAAAAACGGGAGCAGCAGACTGAGGCAGAGATGCTGTGAGCGCTGTGTGTGTGAAGTCCTCACAAAGATAGCAAGATGTATGTGTGTCTTCTTTTTCTCTGTGTTCCTGACAGTTTTATTCAGGCTTGTTGCTGTTTTTGCATCAAAAATGCTGAGATATTAAAAAATAGTAACTTTATGTAAAATATATTATTCTTATTAATATACAAATAAGAACAGAATATTTAGCACTAGATAAAATAAATAATGAATTTATTTATTTATTTTTTTTTTAAAGTAGAAATCCTGTGTGGTAGCACTTAATACAGCCTGCATCAGACAAGGCTTAGTTAATAAATGTTTTTTTAATTAAGACTTGTGTCACATTTGTTATCATTCTTATTTTTATCATGTTAATGGAGGAAGAAAAAGTAGTATCGGCTTCAAGAATCGGCCAAAAAATATCGGCTGCACGTATCGGTTAGACTGATGTTTAAAAAATCAGTATCGGCCTTCAAAAACCTGTATCAGTCGATCTCAATTTAGTATATTAGCTATTTTTTAAATATATTTTTAAAACAGCCGACAGAGCTTTACAGTTTTGTTTTGAATTCTCTGTCAACAGACTGAGGTGAWACCCACCTCCTCAGAGCACTGCATGAGTGGACAGATCCAGTGGATGTCATCCAGCTTGATGAGCTCAGCGCTCAGATTGTTCAGAGTCAGGTGCAGCTCCTCTTCCTCAGGATAGTCTGACTAAAGAGGAAGAGACGAGAGATGTTCAGGATGGATTTATTGAAAAAAAAAGAAAAAAGGTTAAAATTGATTCATTGTTGCAGCTGTAGGGCTACAAGAGATCAACATCTGCTCACTTTCCCTGCTGCCTGCCCACATTATGCGTCGTTTCTCACTGAAGTGAAACCCAACATCTGGCGAGAGGCGTGAAAACAGCCATGTTTTACARGTTCAATCAAACTAAATGTAATCATGTTAATTCACTCAGCTTGCTGCATTTCTTAATGTTCATCCCAGCTGAATCTGATTCCGCGAAGAATCCAGAGAAGGAAACAAATAAATGTAGTTCAGAGTCGAGTTTCTAGGAAAAACAGTGAAAATCTGTGAAAATCCATTTTCTTAAAGTTGGATTTGATTTGATTTATTGATTTAACAGGAAAAGATTACTAAAAATCAAGTAGGGAGTTGGGGGGCAGGATGTTATTATGCATTTTCAGGCACATAGTTTAATTCTATACCACAATCAACTATATTAACTTCAGTTGTAATGAAAATATGGTTTATATCAAACATTAATTTGACTAAACACCTTGAAATTGGCKTCTTTCTCTTTAGGGAACCTCCTACCATTTCTGACACTCCCACTTCAGCACGTCTTCACAACAATAATTAGGAGGAGTGCTCTGTGGGGTGGAGCTCAGCTGCAGATTGAGCTCCAGGGAGGAGCTTTTTGTAAATAGGCGGAGCTTTGAACCATAAGTGTTTAGGCAGATCCACATGACTACAGGAGATTGAAGGATTTCTCAAACAAGCATGAATGAGTCAAAGCAACACTGGGTATGTATGAGGGAATGGCATTATAACATGATATAACACTAAAAAAAGAGATGTTTTTGAATAATACCCTCCCTTTAAAAAACACATTACTGGTGTGAGCAGGGCTGCTGGTACGTCTGCACAAAGGCTTAGTTTGCACACAGACTGAACAAAGGCGAGGCAGCAGAGGCTGAAACATGAGATGCTTTCAGCATCAGGGAGAAGACGACTCGTACCAGTAGTTTTCCATCCAGCAGCATCCTGGTCTCAGCCTGCAGGTCTTTACTGCTGTTGACGATCTCCACGGCCGTGCTCCGACTCAGACACTAAAAACACAAAACCACCACCTTTACATCGTTTTCACTGAACTCTTTGTGTCAGTCTGACCGGCTGTTCACTACTTAATATATTTAAAGCTGCACCTTCACATTTCAGTACCAGGCTGCAACACTAACARTAGATCTAAACCACTGAAACTCTGTCCTCTCCATTTGATCAATCTGTTTTTTCTCTGCGCCGTACCTCAAGGCTGGACAGTTTGGCCTCAGTCAGCACCAGGGCGGTGGCGTTGACGGCGTGAGCCAGCTCCTGCTCCACCAACTTGTGGGTCTTTGCTGCCTCGCGGATCCTGAGGAGGAAAATAAAGAACAAGAATAAATAATGAGCGATGTATTCAGTCAGATGAAATACATTCATACTGATATTTATCTGCCTCTTTTCTTCCTTTGAGTCTAAATGTGGAATTCTTTAACTTAAATGGCTATTTAAGTAAATACAGTYTTTAAAACATAATTTTCAGAAAACCAACTGCTCTCCAATTATTTATTATAAGTTTCTATTTCACACATTTATCTTTGATGTTAAGTCKTTCCAACTATTCTTACATGGTTACTACAAACAGGAATAAACAGAGTGAAAACATTTAAATCTGATGTAAATTACAAAGAAAAACTAATTTCTCTGGTGAGCATAATAAAAACAGTAATAAACTTTTTAATTGCATTGGGAAAACAGACATCCCAAATGTACAATTATATATTTTAAATCTCTTATATGTTGGCCTCTGAAGGTGCTGCAGATAAAAAGTAACAGGTTTGATAATTATTTTGTGAAACGCACAAAATAAATCTATCAACACTTGATAAAAAATATTCTCCTGCAGTAGTAAAAACACTGGTTTCATTATTTAACGATTTAAAGACATTTCTACATTTAGTATAAGTTTACAGGATGTTAGAAATCTTTAAGTTTCTTTGTTTTACATAAATAATCATAGTAGTTGTAATAGCTGAAGTAATAGTACTAG